ATTTTTCATTTGTCTTTAGTAATTCTTTATTTAACTTGCAGCATAATATATTATTGTTAATTTCAAATAATGAGGATACTTGAAAAATGTATTATATATTATAATTTATAATATAAAACAAATCATTCAAAAAATAAATTTTAAATGACCGATTAAATTAAATTTCTGATGTGATGAAAAATAATTTTTGAAACATTCTATATTTTATTCTTAAAACATTATTTATCTAAAAAGTAGGTATTTCAAAAAGCCCCGTGTGAAACAATAAGCTAAGCTCTGCATCTGCCCGTATAATTTTAACCACCACGCGATTAGATAAGACTATGCCACTATGGATTTCCTTTAAAAAAATACATATTGGGTAAATAAATCTAACATTTGTACTCAGTATATTTAATGGTTTTTAAACGTTCACACAAAATGTTGAAGGGTGAGCAAGATATCATCACCTCATCTAGCCTTCACGATCACGGCAAGACGCACGTGTGTGTGTATACGAGTATATATATARAACAACAATAGGACTAAGGACGATAAGTGGATTTTTGTTTAATTACTTATGAACCCTAAACTTAACCAGTTGCTATTGTTTGCGAGTAAGGACGAAAGAAAAATATTTATTTCATCGGTTTGTTAAAAACACTTTGTAGAATACAAGACACGCGTTTAGACTAATAAAATTGTCTTTATATAATATATTTAAAACAATAATATATAACTTGTATATTGTGATATTTATGTCTGAATTTCGTACTTACATGTTTTCGATGCACCTGCTAGACACACGAGTAAAATATAGTATAAAAACGTCCATGTACATATATGCGTATAATATAATTCTGTGCAATGAAACTTCCTGTGTCGGCCGGCAAACTTTTTTTTCTATGGTGTATTTATTTTTAGTGCATACAGGGGCCAGTAACCCTTTAAAGCGCCCGTCTCTGGCATCTTCCTTCTCAAATTAGACGCGTACATATTATTAYTATACGTATTCCCCYGGGATCCAGGAAAATTTCGTCTAACACATTCATAACTGGCAATCACTTAAGTGTGTGTGTGTGTATAAACTTACTCTATATATTTCTACCCTTTCGTTTGTTTACTCATTATATAAAACATTATATTAAATTATAATATATACAAAATATACTCGTAAGTATAACATTCGATGGTTATTGCCTATTGGTTGTAAYAACTATTACAAAGTTTACAAATTACAAAATCTATAATTTTTGTATTTTTTATAGTTAAGAGAAATTTAATCTGATGAATTATA